TGAATACTGAGTAGTATTGGTAGATCGCAGAGGGTAGGATAACTCATTTCAATGGGAATTTTATTTTGATTTTTGAAACAGTTTAAAGGAGTTCTGTCGTTGCAGCGTTTGATCGTATCTCGGAGTTAAAATTTTGCCGTGACAGGGCATCCACCACGTAATTTTCCTCGCCTGTGTTCATCAATAATTACCTTACACCGTTGATTTTTGAATGCGTGTTTCTATCTGAGACGGCAAAGGTAAGGAACTGGTAATCAGTGAAAATATTTATATCGCTTGCTCCATAGAGGTAATTTGCAATTTACCTACAGACCAGACAATAGCTAATGATTGTCGCTCATTCGTGGCGTAGTGTGTCCCCCTTGTTTTAGCGTGCGTGAACACATAGGTATGACATCTCCGGATGCCAGGATAATTCTCAATCTTTCGAAAGTATTACGTTGAGTTTTGTTAAACTCAATCGAGACCCGTTTGGACATGTGCTTGCTCACCGAACCATTTTCTCCTTTGAGAATGTTGGTTAAGGGCCTTGCTATTGCTGCGAAGTCCTTAATAAAACCCCTGTAATAACTACCTAAACCAAGAAACGACGCACGCTCAACAGGCTCAACAGATTTTTCGGCTCAGCACACTCTTCTATCGCCCTGACCTTTTCAGGATCAGCTTTAGTCCCGTTTTGGGTCACTAGAAAACCCAAGAATTCAATGCTCTCTTTAAAGAACTTAGTTTTCTCTCATGCTACTCTCATGTTTGTATCGGACAAGCACTTTAAGACCGTATCAATATGTTGCACATGGTCAATTTCGTTTTTAGAAACGATTATTACGTCATCTACACTGCGAATGATGTTTTATCTCGGCCTTGTTCCGATAGATCAATTGTAAACAGGATAATATATAATTTAGAGTATATGGGCCTGCAGTTTATAGTGCGGATTGTAGCAATAACTAGGTATTGAATGACCTTAGAGGTCGAAGACCTTTTATGCCCGGTTTCACAGTCCATACTTATGTTGTACTTAAGATAAAACAAGAAAATAGTGTTTTACAGTTCTTACTTATGTAATGCTTAAGTACTGAAAAGGGGAGACTTAAGCACTGCTGAAATAACAGCTGATTTGTGTTTTGAATTTTCAGTTATTTGTGAAAAAAAGAATAGTAAGATATAACAAATTATATTTTGTGAAAAAAATATGGAATCGGATTGGGATTGCGATTTTGACAGTGACCCAGAATACGATGTCCTCTGGAATGTTATAATAATGCGACGAACAAAAGAAATCAGGTCCCGGCCAAAATTCTTCAAGCTGTATGACGATAAAGATTTCGGCGACAGATTTCGGATTAKCAAAAACACAGCCTGGAATGTGCTCGTCTGAAATCGACTACAAATTGAACACAAAACCAAGTGGTACATCTAAATTGCCTTAAACGACTCAATTATGTATACATTTCTTTTAGGAATCATGCATTATCACCAGAACAAATGCTTTTGCTTACATTGAGGTTTTATGCTACGGGAAGTATGTTGAGGRCAGTAGGAGATTTATTTGGAATATCTAAAAGTACGGTATCAAGAGTTATAATAGTAGTTTCGTACCACATATGCTAAAAACGGAAAGAGACCTGAAAAAGTCCCAGAGAGATTTTTTTAAATTAGCTAAATTTCCTCGAGTGATCGCAGCAATTGATTGCACTCATGTAAAAATAATTTCTCCAGTTAAAGAAAGCCCAAAAAACTTCACTCAAAAACTTTTTATATACTTTATATACAGGGGGGGGGGGGGGAAATGCAGGGTTATTTCGTAATAGAAAAGGTATATTTTCCATGAACGTCCAGACGTTATGTGATAGTAACATCCGCATGTTGCACGGTKSCCTGGATCCACTCATGATGCTACTATTATCCGTAACTCTCGAATTCATTGTCGAATAGAATCCGGAGAATTTGGTTCTGGAATAGTAGTTGCAGACAGTGGTTATGAAGATAACCACTTCGTGATTACGCCACTAATGCATGTCAATACGAGTGCCGAAAATATTTTTAACGAGTCTCATATAAGAACACGGAATTGTATCGAGCGCTCATATGGAGTCTGGAAGCGTACATTTCCGGTATTATGACTGGGCTTGCGCTTGCATCTATAAAAAGCCCAAAGCATTATTGCTGCAACAGCAGTATTACACAACATCTGAGCAATTATCGCGATATAATGGCTCCGCCACTTTCAAATGAAATTGAAGATGTTGTAAACAATATGATTAATATACCCAATAATCGCAATGCTGAAAGTCATACAATAAATAATGTTACCAGAATAGTAATGTTTAATAGATAATTACTTCAGTTTATTGTAGTTTAATAAATACGTTTAGAATTTTACATATATGTATTTTTTATTTCACCCTTCCAGCTCMTTTTTCTTTCTTTCCAAATCTACTGCTAAAATTTTCATTTCCAAATCATGTTTTTCTTTCATCAACTTCGTTGATAGGTTGTTACTTTCTTCTAATAGTTTCATTCTGTGTTCGTGCTCCGCATATATTATTTTTATTTCCGCTTCAAATTTTTCTTCCGTCCATTATGTTTTTATATCTGCTAACTTTGCTTGGACATTTTTCGCAGATTTTTTTGATTTTTGTTCAAATTCTAGTTTTGAGTTTTTTGGTATTTTCAACTTGCTGGCATCATATTTGTTCCAAAGCTGGTTTGATTCAACGTTTAATGTAACGTTGTCGGATTCTAAAAGATAGATTTCTTTGTAATGAGTTTGGTATTTTTTTACTTTAACATTTTTTACCATTTATTCCTTTATAATTTCCACTTCGGTCGTATTTTCGATACCCTCTATGCTTTCTAATGTATCTTTCTCCAATATCACGGACTCTATTTTAGAGAATTGCAATTACATCACTAACTTGCTTCTCATGCAACACAGTCAAAGGTTTTTCATCAAACTCAGTTAACAATTTCTTTGATGATCCAGTTAAATAAAAAGATCTATTATCCTCTGCAACTCGCTTTTTTACCTCTCTTTTTAGATTTAGATACTTTTTCTTCAATATTTTTGCACTGCGGTGGCAGCCAGATGGACACTGTGAATTGAAATCATATTCGATACGCTTCCATRCGGCATCTTTTTTAGCGTTCGTGCAAGTGTCCGTCCGCTTGCATTCAATGACAGCTTTATATTTCTCCACTAGTTCCAATAGCTGCTCCGACTCCCTTGCGGCGAAATTCGGGGTCCTTTTCTGGCTTTCATCCATTTACGAAATAACTTTCCATCCAAATTTATACGTTGTCTATAATAATTTAAATATTTCAGTCATATGTTTGTGGATGACATTTGTAAAACATATGTTGCTCACAACGTTGCCATATATCATAATAAAATTTTATAGAAATTAAGCATTGACTGTGTAACGCACACGACTACTCTGTTTGCAACAATGCTTAACAAAGATTTTACTTAGGCACAACTTAAGTATGGACTGTGAAACCGGGCATTATTCTTGTCAGTATCACATCTGTGAAGTTTACTCTGCCACAGTAATGATACTGCAATTGCTCAGATTTGTAATTGTAGTTAATAGTGTTGTTACGTAAGTTTAACGCTATTTATCGAGTGCTATAATTGCATCAAATGAGTTAAGTGTGTAGCACGAAGAATGGAGAGATTAGCCCAAAAATTTTCATAAGTTTCTTACTAGTTACTTTGCTCGAACCATGTATCGAGCGTACAGTGAAATGGCTTTCGACAGAAATTATTAATTATAGCTCCTTTACGGGCTTAATGTAATTTTTTGGCGCAACTGTGTCAATTAATATTTTTATACTTTTCCCACCGAGCTGTCGCTTGATATATGGCAATCGGGAGCTGGAAGTAGACTTTTGATCTTTTTTTTCCGAATCTGGGGCGACCTGAAAATCATTGTTCAATCGCTGCCGCCTTGGTCCTGTTGCCCTATCTGACGTATTGTACCTTTTTTGCCTGCCTAAACTTAGAAGACGAGTCAACTTCCATTGGTTCGGGGCTCTTCTTTTTTATTCCTATCTTGCTGGCTGTTGTTACCCTGCTGCTTTTTTTACAAAATAGGGGTTCCTCTCACCACTACGTTTAGCTTTATAGCTTCTACCTTGTGTGCGAGCGGTCGATTTCCATTATTTTCTCGCGTCTGTTCTCTTTCTGCAATAGCTTTGACATAGGAAGCGGAAAACATACTGGTTGACTYTACTTCTCTGTCTAGCGCTAATGCAGACGCTAAATCTTTTGGCTGTGTCGGGAAAACAATAGCCTTAAGGGACTTTTTCAAGCCAGAAGTGGAGGAGTGGAGTGCATCTGCCTTGACTTCTGCCGAATGAAAGTCTCCTTTGTAACTAGGGTAAACTTTCTTTCGATCTCAGGCTTTGCCTCAATAGTCGTCGCGAAGTTCTATCTGCCTATGAACAATCTAGCCGAGCTATGATTGCATTGAAATTAGGTAATGTGTTGTGAGACACTAGCACAGCTCTTGCTGCACCCCTTACTTTATTTCTGATGATTGTTATCGATTGGCGATGCGTGCTGCTGTCGTTAAATGGTTTAAATCACACCTGATTTTTGAATTTACTCAAATTCTTTGATAAACTATCACTTGTGGTGCTTGAACGCTCAAATTGTTAACTTTTGCGCTTATATCATTAAGCTGTGCCTAGAATCTTTGCCCTTGCTGCGATCTGCACTAGCTCTTGCTCTTGATTAATATTCATGTCGCATTGTGTGTGRCTATCGCTAACTTCTACGTTCACCTGATAGTTGCTTTCCTTTGTCTAATTTTATTTTAATATTTTCAATTGCTTCTAACCAGCTCATATGCGCTATTATATTACACCGAAATTTGTATATTGTCGCGAAATATGGCTATGTTCGTAAATGCATCATGACTTGCAGCATAAGCACCAGTAGCAACACTGCAAGTTTGACGTTTGATACTTCTTATACAATTTTTGACAATTTGCAGACACATTGGTTTGCATTTTTGAACGCGTATAATACTAAATTGGAAATTTTGCTGAATCTAACACTAGACGAAATTTGTGAGCAGAGAAATGATACATTTTCTTTAAATTTAAGAAAAAGAAGGGTATTGAAGTCAAAAAGAAATCGTTTATTAAAACAATAAAGTCGTTTCCCGAGGACATTTTCTATTCCCATTTCCGAATGAATTTAGCCACTTTTAAGGTAAGGTTTTATAAGTTTTATGAAAATTACTAATTTATAGTTTTATTTTAATTAGGCTTTGGAAAAGACTTTGACTCCACACTGGGTAACTGCAAGGCTTGGCCGTGATGGTCGTTCGTTAGAGAATTGTCTGTACATGACATTATGGAAGCTATGTAATAACAGGGTGACGTTCCGACAGCCTTCGGTTCGCTTCCACATTTCAAAAGGAACATCACACCGTGTATTTAACAAAACAATCCAAGCCATTTGTAATCTTAAAAGCGAAATAAAATGGCCGTCTATTGACCGTCAGCAAGAGGTCATGACAAATTTTGAAAATAGCAGAAAAAATCCCTTTACTTTTGTTATGCGATGTTTAGATGGAACGCATTTTAACATACCTTCCCCAAGTGTAGATGCGATTAGTTATTATGATCGCAAAGGAAACCACTCAGTATCCATKAAGGTTTGATTTACATTCTTCCACCTCATTATTTTTATCACTTTAATTTATTATCTTCCAGGCTATATGCGACAGCCAATATCGTTTCCTAGATGTGTTTATTGAATATCCATTGAGTTGCTACGATGCCAATGTTTGGACAAATAGCCCAATATTTTAAGCAATAACATCTGGCGAGTTACAGCTGGCACCAAGTGCTGTTATATTGGGGGACTCTGCGTACCCCATATCAAAATTTCTAATGATACCTCACAGAGACAATGGGCATCTCAGTAGGGAACAGAAGATTTTCAATACCCGTTTAAGTTCAACGCGAGTATTTATAGAACAAACTTTCGGGATTTTTAAGAAACAGTTTAAAATTTTAAATTATATTGAAACTTCGAGCATTAAAGCCACATCTACTGTAATACTCGCTTGCGCTATCTTATGCAATTTTATCATAAATAAGGGAGGTTATTCTGAACATATTAACGATACAATAACACATGCTGATATGGAAACCTACAATGACATCGAAGGAATTTAAGATGCCCCCATTCGCCGTGTTGATTCAGATGATATCAAGGGAATCGATAGAGAAACTATTTTACCACTCAGTTTTCATCATAAAAAATTTACTTTACCTCACCTTCCTTTATTTGAATAATTTTTTTATTACTTTTTCTGATGAACTTTATTTTAATTATTATTGTTTTCATTAAAAAGAAAAAACATTTATTTAACTAAACCTAGTTTCAATAAAAAGATAAGGTGAGCTTCTTACACATATAGAAAATAAAAAGGTAAATTTCAGTTCTTTACCACAGGCTAAATACTTATCTATTCATATTAACACTATTTTTTTAAATAATTTGCCAACACCGATTTCATGTCTAGTAGAGCTTTTATTCTTTCTTTTTCTAGAGACAGCTTGTCCCTCTCCAAAGCCATGACCTCGTTATGTCGAGCTTCTTCTTTAACCGCCTCTGCTTCGAAAACTTTAAAATATCTTTGTTAGACGTCGCTCGAGGACGAGTGGCTCTCTGACTGCTAGTCGGTGGAGAATCTGGAGACTCAATATTTATTTCAATTGAAGATGTGGGCAACGTTGACTGTACCATATCCAAAGAGGCTTGCAAATTTGCTATTGAAGGAGTAATTGAGTGCTTGTACCATAAACTTCGTGGAAGTCCTCAAAATACCTCCAGGATGTAGCTTCTTAATGCGCTTGTACGTTACAAAGAGATTTAAGAATTTTCTCTGTGCTGTGGTGCTGTCCAGTCTTATATGTGGATTTACATTTTTAACTTCGGTCACAACTTTCTTCCACAATACATTTTTTCCTTCTACCCGATTTAAACTCGTTCTCCATATTCAACCGTACTCTCAGCAATAACTGTGTCTTCGCATTACTGAGACTAAAAATTTAAAAATAATAATTTATACACTTATTATTAACATAATTTAACTAAATTTCAATACAAAAATTAAAATAAAACAGTTTTGCACTTACTTTTCGTCAGACATCGTAGTTAAATGCAATAAACAATTTTTTGATAGAAATTATGAGTGACAGCTGATAGAAGTGTTGTCTTTTTGAACGCTTGATTATTGCAGTGCTGCAATATTGGCATTTCTGAACGTTCTGTTTGTTATGCAATCGCCATGATGCATTTACCAACATAGCCTATATTATATATGAACGGCTTAAGTATGAAGCACGTATGTAAATATTTTATGTTATATTCTTTATGTACTTTTATTTAGAATATCTTGATATAAACATATCACGCAGCGGTTCAGTTAAAATTTTGGTATGATTTGAAAAAGATTGTAATGAACATATATACAATTACGAGACATTCCTAATCTGAGTGTATATTCTCGTTCGTTGGGCGCCAATTATGTTGGGTTTTCTGACGATTATGTTATTGTCCTTTAAGAGTCAATATTGTAACGGCGAGGCCGGAGCAAGTACCTTTATTATAGATGAAATAAAGGAAACAAACTGAACTTAAGATTGAACTCTAAAAATATTATTGAACCTAATATCATTAGTGTGCGTTACTATATCCGGTAAGCTCAATCAGCATACACCAACACAGTCGCTTGCGACATAGGCTAGTGTCGGGTTACCGCTGCTGGCCGCAGTGGCTGGGCAACAAACTTATGCGTCAGCAGAATGTTGCAATGTAAATGTAAACAAAGTGAATTGCACCATTCTTGCATTTCACAAACTAAAAGTGCAATCCTTACGTGTTATCTTATATACTTACATACAGCATACTATCCGTTTATGTTTATAGGGTACAATCATTCCAAAAAAAATCTTAACATTTCATTAAAATGACCGGTACGATAATGAAATTCGTGTAATTTAAATTTGATAAAACTAAAATGTGGGACGAGCTACAATATATTATATTATATTTCAACGTTTAATACAACATGGCAACACCATGTCAGCAAGTCAGCAAGTCAGCTGCGCCTGGCTTACAAGAAACACTGAAACGAATACAACACAAAACGAAACAAGGAATACCTAGGTAACCGCTAGGCTTGAAGACACCCGCGGTTATTACTATATAGGACTACACATCATACGATCAACTCTCTTCTTCTGCTGACAGCCATCGCGTGCACATCGAGTAACCACAGCACAATAACCACCACAACTGGTGACCCCGACCTCGACAAACTCGTGTCTTTGGTAGACAAAAGAGAATACATTGCACTACCAGCAGAAATTAATTCGCTCCAAGAATCAACAAAAACATCAGCAGTCGAATCACGCATTTCCCGTCTCGAAGCTTMGATTAATGAGCTAGTTTCCAGTTTAAAGTAGCAGAGCATATCTCGTTCCCGTTCTCGTCAGCGCTTTCGTTCGCGCACATCTCCACCAGCATTGACACGTGTTGGTATCACCAACGACACGTGTTGGTATCACCAAAATTTCGGCAATAAAGCTAAACGTTGCCGATCGCCGTGCTCATTTCAGGGAAACCTCCCGTCGGACCGTTAGTGGCGGTAAACGGCTCCTCACGCGAATCAAACTGCCTTTTCATAACAGATCGCGCCACCAAAATCCAATTCCTGGTGGATACTGGCGCTGATCTCTGCACTTTTCCTAAATCTCTCGCACCGTGGCCGTCCGAACGAATCAACTATAATCTCACAGCASCAAATGGATCTACGATTAATACCTACGGTTGCATAACTCTAACACTAAACCTTGGCCTCAGACGAAATTTTACATGGCGCTTCGTGGTGGCGGACATAATGAAACCTATTATTGGCGCAGACTTTTTWGCTCATTTCGGCATCTTACCCGACCTCAAGAATAGCTGCCTTATCGACTCAATAACTGGACTAAAAGCCGCATGTAAGCTATCTCCATCAAAAATCATTTCGGAAATTAAAGTACTGCCCGTCGATCCTATRTGGGCAGACGCWCTAAAGGAGTTCCCTAACCTGACAAAGCCGGAAGGAATCTGTCAGCCAACAAAACATAVGACGCAGCACCACATTTCTACTACACCAGGCCCTCCAGTTTCGTGTAAAGCTCGAAGACTTATTCCCGACAAACTTAAAGTTGCCAAGACAGAGTTCGAGTAAATGTTACAACTAGGAATCGCTCAACGTTCGAAGAGCTCTTGGTCATCTCCGCTCCACATGGTTCCATAGAAGTCTGTTGAATGGCGACCTTGTGGAGAGAGACTTAACGCCCGTACATTGCCAGACCGATATCCTGTTCGGGTCTTCGAAGACTTTACTGCCAATCTAACTAGCAAAACAGTATTTTCAACAATTGATCTAGTGCGAGCTTTTAATCAAATACCTGTATCCAAAGAAGATATCGACAAAACTGCAATTATAACACCGTTTGGTCTTTTCGAATATCCGTTCATGACGATCGGACTTCGGAATGCCGCACAAACATTTAAACGATTTATACATAGACGACATCCTAATCGCTTCCAAAGATGTTACGCAACACCGYAGTCATCTTCGCTTACTTTTCGAACGACTCACTAAGTATGGTGTCGTAATTAACACCGCTAAATGCCGTTTCGGTCAGTCCGAAGTGGACTTTTTGGGACACCGCATTTCAKCCAAAGGAATCTTACCTCTTCCTGGTRAARTAGACGCGATAGTTAACTACCCACGACCAAAAACGATCCGAAAACTGCGTGAGTTTCTCGGGATGATAAATTTCTACCGTAAATTTCTTAAAAACGCTGCTAAGTTACAGGCACCTCTGCACGAGWACATTCAAGGCACTTCAATAAAAGGTTCTCAGCCGGTTAGCTGGACACCAGAAAGGGATGCAGCGTTCGTTGAATGCAAAGAAGAGCTACGTAAAGCAACAATATTAGCATACCCGGATACAACGCTCCCTTGGGCAATATTTACTGATGCCTCAGAATATGCTATCGGCGCCGTCCTCCAACAACGGCGAGGACAACACTGGGAACCATTGGCCTTCTTCAGCCAAAAGCTTCAACCTGCTCTTAGAAAACACTGTCCGTACGACCGTGAGCTTCACGCTATCTACGCAGCTTTACGAAAATTTCGCTATATTTTCGAAGCACGACACATCACAATATTCACGGATCACAAACCTTTGCTACACGCTTTTTCTCAGGACCCCGATCGAGCGACACCCTGGCAATTCCACCGCCTAGATTTCATCAGCCAGTTTGCAACCGATATCCAACATATAGGCGGAAAAGACAACATCGTCGCAGATGCTCTTTCKCGCATCGAAGAAATTTCAATGGCAGTATCTTCAAACGAACTTGCTCAAGCACAAGCTGAGGACGGGGAACCTCAGCAAAGAATACAAAGGGAACAACACGATTCACTAAACTTGCGACCAGTCAACATTCCAGGCTGCAATAAGCCAATTTATTGCGACGTTTCGATCGATATTATTCGTCCATATGTTCCCACCGCGCTGAGGAAGAAAATATTCGACGCTCTCCACAGCATTAGTCATCCCGGAGCACGAGCTTCCGCCAAATTGGTAACGCAGCGATACATTTGGCCAAGCCTTAACCGCGYATGCCGTTTGTGGGCCCAAACATGCCTAGCTTGCCAACGAAATAAGGTATCTCGCCACGTTTTATCACCAATCCAAAACTTTCCAAGCCGCACAAGACGTTTCGAACATATCCACGTGGACATCATTGGTACATACGTACCTTCAAAGGGGTATCGCTACTGCTTGACAATTATCGATCATTTCACCARGTTCCCAGAGGCATTTCCCATTGATAGTGTCGACGCCGAATGTGTTGCCCGCACACTTTTTGCCGGATGAATATGCCGCTACGGTGTACCATTACAAATAACAACGGACCAAGGAACACAGTTTAAGAGCCAACTTTTTAGCGCTCTCGCTCGTCTCCTCGGCAGCAAACATATAAATACCACCACTTTCCATCCGCAGTCGAATGGAATGGTGGAACGTCTTCACCGTCACTTGAAGGATGCCATTCGTTGCCATGAAAACAGCTCATGGGTCGACATGCTACCCATCGTTCTCCTTGGAATTCGTGCCGCTTGGAAGGAAGATCTTGGAGCAACTCCTGCCGATCTCGTTTATGGAGAGCCAATTCACTTACCAGGTGAATTC